CTATTGTTCTCTGTTTTTCCCTAGTCTTCTGCCTTTTGATTATCTGCTTAGTCCTAATTCCTTCAAACATAGTCCTAATTGGTTTGGCCCTAACATCAAGGATCATTTTGTTGAAAACCTCACTAAGGTTGTTCACAACAAGATCAGTTTTGCAATTGTAATCCATTGCAGACCTACACCAAGTCTCCTTTGGAATTTTTTAAGTCACTTCCAGGCATCCTCACGCTCTTCTTTAAGCTCTGCCATTGCTAATTCATGGCCATGTTTGGTGAATGAGTAGCTAGCCTGATCTACTAGCTTCTTTAGTTCTGCTCCTCTGAAACCAGCTGACTGAAAATTTGCATATATGTGCCTGAGGCTGTATCTCTGAGGGGAATCAGGGAACACCTCATTTATAGCCTTAAGAAGACCCTTATTGTAAATTAATAACCATGGTCATGAACAAAAATAAATAAAGCTACTAATAACAATATATATCTGAACTACTGGCTAAGATAGGGTGCATACCTTTTGCCTGTCAGAAATAATGGTGTAGGTTCCAAATTTGCTACCACTTCCAATGCAACATCTTAGCTGGGTTAGGAACCATGTCCAACTCTCTGAATCTTCCTTATCAACCACACCAAAGGCTATGGGGTAGATGTTGTTGTTGCCATCTCTTCCTGTGGCTGCAAGAATTTGCTGTCCAGTGGTTAGCTTGATGAAGCAACCATCAAGCCCTGCATCCATACCCAAATTAGCTACCATAAATTTACAACAAGATATTTCGAACAAAATGCAGTTATAGATTTACCTATAAAGGGCCTGCAACCATTAAGAAATCCTTGCTTTGATGCATGCAAGCAGTAGAACATGTACTTAAATCTAGGAGTTGGGGCAGGGTTTTCTGGGTCCTCAAATGTTGTAACTACACACCTGCTACCAGGGTTTGTGTCAAGAACTACTTGTAGGTAGTCCCTCAGTCTATAGTATTGCTCCTTCTGGTCACCTTGTGCAACCTTAATAGCCTTCCTCTTGCCCTATAGGCCACACTCTTTGATACATCAACTGAAAACTTGACTTTGCTGTTTTTAATAAGTGAATCCACATGTGCCCTAGGATCTGCTCTAAGAGAAGGCTCAACTGCTTTGGAAAGCCACTTAGTAGTAACCTTTGTGTTCTCTGCTGATGCTGGACAAGTGTGCTCCATGTTACACTTCTTAATGCAAAATGTTCTTTCATGAGCAATCCTGGAGGCACACATGTAAAATTTACATCCATGCTCTCTCTGTGAACACGAAACAATAATTCTTGTTGGAGTGTTCCTGTGGTAGTGAAAAGACCTCAAAGTCCTTATATGAAATTCTATTAATGCTTCTCTGAACTGGTAAACAATATCAAAACACAAGCTCTTACACAAGAGTAAATGTGAATTGGGAATTGAGGGGTCAAAATATAGCCTTTCCTTCATCTTTTTCTTACTACTCTTTGTCTTTGGCTTCTTCATGAGGTATGGTAGTTCACCTTCATCTTCTTCTTCCTCATCACTTATGCCCGCATCACCAGCAAAACAAAACTCATCTGCTTCAGGAAACCAATCTTCAAAACGTTTTTTCTCCACCTCATTGTGACATCTGCTAGTTGGACCAGGATTCTTCACATGTTTCACAATAGCAATAGTTTGCAATGTTGTATCCTCTTCAGAGGCACACTCTATTTCCATTTGTTGAACAACTTCAGCACTCCCATCTGAATGAATTAAATTCTCAGAACAAAATTCAGACACTTCAGTGTCTCCTTCAAAGTGGTTCAAATCTGCCTCTCTTTGAATCCTGCTCCTCTCAAGCTGAGCCTTTCTATCATCTATCTGATTCTGAAGCTCAAATTGCTCCACAACATTTTTCACACAACAGCTCTCTTGAGTGTTCATGTAATTCTCATTAGCATGTGTACTAATTCCAGGTTCAACATTTCTCACAACCTTTATGTTCACTAGCTTGACATGATGAAAAAACTCCAACATTTCATGAACACTAGCTTCATTACCTAAATACTTTACTCTTTGAGATCCAATTTCCTCCTCCTTCACATAGTACATGTAATCACTGTCCCCATACCCTTCACTAGCAATGAGTGATTGTAGAGTAAGCAAAGAAATATCTAACTCAAATATACCCCTTTTCACAGGGTTTCTTCCTTCTAAATGAAACCATATCTCCCACTTCTGGTCAGCAAAACTGCACAAATAAGTGCTCATGAATTGAATTGAAATTAACTGAGCTACAAGTGCAATATAGTTTACTGACTCCGGTTTACTAAACATGTCCAACTAACAGAAACAAACATCTTACTAATTTGCCAGATTGAAGCAGCTAACCAAAGGCCCAGCAGATGATACTTGCATACTTGCAACCCATTGGCGATGACTGGGAGAGTGGTGTCTCCTGCTGCGAGCCGGCCTGCGTCGAGAAACTGGTGCTCCCCAACCAATTATCGACTGAGCCGCTGGCTAGTGGTGGAGGCGCGGGCGAGGCAACAGCGTCCAAACTTGTGTCACCGCCGCCAGCGTCGCCACCGCCAACATCGCCGTCGCCAGCGCCGCCACCCTCTGGAATCAACGAGGACATGGCGGCCGCCACCTAGTCCAGAGAGAGGGAGAGGAGGGAGAGAGTGAAGCGAGAGGGGAACGGATCAGATCTTGACCCACACCCGACCGACAGCCGCCGTTCCGACAGCGGACGGGCCGTTAACGGCCGTCAACGCGCGGCGGCCATCCGTTGGCCAGCGTGGCAACTGATTCGCGGGCCCAACCGGTCAGATTCGGGGTTAGCGCGGGCGAAGCGAGTGCTTTCGCGACTTGGTAGTTTTTTTTGCCACGGTTTAGGACAAATTTGATAGTTTTTCGCACAAAATTGTAGAGTGGTAGTTTTTCGTCACGTTTCCGTCAATTGTGGTAGTTTTTGGTTAAACACTCCATAAATCTCACACGTGCTAGTGCTATCATGCTATGAGATACTCTTCGACCTGTGATTGATTGCCTCCCTGTTTCGCCCCGTTTCAGTTCTGATTCTGAAGACCAGTCCTGCCACGCGACACAGCAATGATACTCGTGGAGTCGTGGTTCCGAAGAGTCCTGCATTTGTATAGATCAAGCCTTGTGATTGCTAACCACGCGTTCTGCGCGGTTGTTTGTTTATTTCCCTTTTTGTCCAAAGAATTGCGTGGTTACTCCGTGTATCGATCGGCCGTACTGTCGCAGATACGCCCGGTCCCATAGACTCCTTATACATGTCCTATACTCTTGAGCTGACCGGCATCCCTCATATCTAACCTAAATCTGGACCGGATATAGGAAGGCCTGGACACGCCTGACGCGTCGGACCAGACAGGCCAAACCCATTGTAAACGGCACCAAAATGACAAGTCCACCGTTATCCTCACACTTCCTTCCAGTATTTCCAGCGTCCGGAGAGACAGTTTTACTTCGGTCTCTTTTCTTCATGAGCGTAGAAACCACAATTTCGAGGCTCATATTCTCATCAAGTTTGCTTGTAATTTAGGAATAGGTCATCATATTTGATTGGGCATCCCACATAACCAACGTCTTGTACCTATGAACATTGTCTAATTAATAAAGTGGCAAGATTCCTCAAAAA